ACAGTGTCAGGTAAAATAATTCTTTAATCTGCTTTGTTGTCCGTGTATTATTGTCGAAACAGCGACTATTTCTCTCCCTCCAAATACACTAGATGATGCATCCTGGGACAAGGTCCCAAACAATCTTGCTATCTTTATTACGAAATCTTCTCCCTCATGCCTTCAAAACATCCTCCATACGCTGTGGAAACACCCAATCCATGTGTTGAGAAACCAAAATATCGTTCCATAGGGTGCGAGCATCGTCGCAATGAATGAACAAATGGTCAATCGTCTCTCCATTCATTCGACACATATAGCACCATTCCGTAACATAAAAATCCCTGCATCGGAGGTTATCCACCGTTAACACCTGTCCCTTCACAACCGTCCATAGGAAAAATGCCAGCCGAGGGAGTAATTTACAACGCCATACCTTCTTCCATGGGAATGAAGTCTCCTCAGGTTCCAATAAAGATCTAAAATAAGAGCTCACTGAGAAAATGTCATCGCGTGCCAACCTCCACCTGCTACGATCACTTTCGCCCCACTCTGACATGCACCTCATACAAAGAAGTCAGGAGTAGTACATAATCATCTAATTCTCAATCCTGTGGACCCCTCACAAAAACAATGTTCCAGCTGGGATTCCCATTATGCACCTGTAAGACTTCATGTACCATAGCCTGCGGCATCAAAGTAATACGATACAGGGAAGGATACTCTGCTCTTAATGGCCGATCTGTACACCAACAATCATTCCAGAATCTGATAGTATTGCCATTCCCCACCTCATACGTCAATCTATCCTGAAATTCTCTCCACCCTCGTTGTATATACTTCCACAAACTCACCCAATAAGAACCACGATTCTTGGTTGAGCACCATCCCCCCTCTAGAACACCATATTTCGCCTCTATAATCTCTCTCCAAAAACTTTCCCTCTCCACACCGAATCGCCACAACCACTTACCCAGCAAGGCCTTACCAAACAATACAAGACTCCTCAATCCAAGGCCCCCCGTTTTTATGGGAGCACATACTACGCCCAGTTAATCAGGTGAAGTTTCCTCTCCTCCCCTAAACCTCCCCAAAAAAACTTCCTTTGAATCCTCTCTAATCTTTTTGCCACGGTAACAGGGATAGGAAACAATGACAAGAAGTGGGTAGATTCGATAAAGTGGACTTAATGAGTGTAAGACAGCCTCCCTTTGAGAGGTACATACGCTTCCAACCCGCTAACTTCTTCTCCACTCTTTCCACAATACCATTCCAAATGTGTATGTTTTTAAACCGTGCTCCTAAGGGGAGCCCAAGATAGGACATAGGTAGTTGCACGGTCCAACAGCCCAATATGGCCGCTAACTCCATCACATTAGCAACATCTCCAACTGTGATGGCCTCAGATTTCCCCAAATTAATTTTCAATCCAGATACAGCTTCAAAGCATAGTAACAGACGGCGCAAGTTCCTAAATTGCTCAGCCTCTGCATCACAAAAGATCAATGTATCGTCTGCAAATAGCAAATGAGATACCTACAACTAGTTAATCATAAAGCCCTTCAACAGAGTTTCTCCCACAGCTTTCTCAATCATCCCACTTAAAGCCTCCATGACAATGACAAACAATAATGGAGACAACAGATCCCCTTGCCGCAAACCTCTACTACTCTGGAAATAACCCTTAGGAATGCCATTTACCAAAACCGAATACAAGACCGTAGATATACAAAAGTGAATCCAACAGCACCACTTGTCCCCAAAGCCACATCACCTGAGCATATACAAAAGGATCCCCAGTTTACGTGATCATAGGCTTTCTGAATATCAAGTTTACATAACATCCCTGGAATCCCTCTACGCAATCTCGAGTCAATGCATTCATTTGCTATAAGTACAGAATCCAATATCTTACACCCTTTGACGAATGCATTCTGAAATTTAGACACCACCTTTTCCAACACCTCCTTTAATCTATTAGCCAGCAGCTTTGCAATAATCTTGTACATCCCATTAACTAAGTTGATCGGACGAAAATCTTTAATATCTGATGCTCCCGATTTTTTTGGAATCAGCACAATAAATGTAGCATTAGAGCTTCTCAAGAACTTGCCACACTAAAAGAAATAAGTAAGAACATCCACAATATCCGATCGTACCACTTCCCAACAAACCTTATAAAATGAGAGTGAGAATCCGTCCGGCCCTGGTGCTTTATCATCATTCATGTTGAACACCACCTCCTTAATCTCATTCTCCTCAAATGGTCTCTCTAACCAAATTGCATCCTCCTCAGTAATAGTAGAGAAATCTAACTCCTCCAACTCTATCCTCCAATCAAACTGCTCACGATACAAGTTTTGATAGAAATTCACCATTTGGGTCCCAATATCTTGTGGATCTTCATAAGTAACTCTGTCTACCACCAGCATGGTGATAGAATTGTTACGCTTGTTAGAATTGTCAACTCTATGGAAAAATTGGTACATTTATCACCCTCCTTCAACCACTTGACCCTAGATTTCTGACGCCAGGCTATTTCCTCCATCTCCACTAACCTCTCCAACTCTCCCCTTAATTCTCCACGTCTCTCCCTTTCATCCCCTACCAATCCTTGACTCTCCTCCCTCTTATCCAGCTCTTCTATATCTAACATACATTGGTTTTTACGCCAGTTTACATCTCTCGCCACCTCCTCATTCCACCTCTTTATATCCCTCCTTAAGGCTTTCAATTTTTGATTGAACACATAACTGGGGGACCCCCGAAATTGTAAGATGCCCACCAGTCCCGTACACGCTCTCTAAAGCCTTCTACTTTTAGCCACATCTTCTCAAACCTAAAAGGTCTTCTCACACTACACCTCGCATTCCCAGCCAGTAAGATAGGGAAGTGATCAGAATACACCCTCCCTAATCTTCTCTGGGTAACCTCTGGATACTTCTCCTCCCATTCCCCACTAATCAGGAACCGGTCTATTCGCGATAAAATAGGCTGCTCCCAATTAGAAGACCAAGTAAAGTCTCCTCCAATCAAAGGCAAGTCCACCAACATATTTTCCCTGATAAAATCTAAGAACTCCTCCATTGCCTTTGTTAATCTCCCACCACTTGATCTCTCAGTAGGAAATCGAGTCACATTAAAGTCACCGCCAAGACAAGTTGGAATGTTCCACCAAGCCATCATCCTCGCCAATTCATCCCACAATCCACTTTTACTCTCGTCATCATTAGGCCCATACACTCCTATAAACGTCCAATGAAATACATCCCCAACATTTCTGAACGAAAGCGATAAAGAAAATAGTCCTTCACTAGCCTCCTCCATATCAAGAGTTCTCATGTCTCACAGGACTAACACACCTCATGACGCTCCTGATGATCCCTTATATTGATACCCAACATACTGTTCCCCCCATAAACTGCTCACAATAGCCCTTGAGACGGACTCCAACTTAGTTTCTTGTAAACAGACTAAATCCGCCCTCCATCCCCTTAGCAGATTTTGAACCCCTAATCTTTTCTCCGCTACATTAAGCCCCCTTACGTTCTAACTAATTATTTTTGGCATCATCTTAACACTTTGACATCCCTCCCAAGCAATCCTTTCTTTGACTCGGCACCCTTGTCACCATAATTTACTAACCATTCAAGCCGCTTAAGTTCACAGTCACCTTTTCTTCTTGTTTTACCGCCTGGTATACTCATCCCTTGTCCCCTACTGGCCTCCAACTCTACGAATAATTGTAACAGTCTACTTTCATATCCATCGCAGGACACACCAACCAGCTTGTTGAAATCTTGAATTTTTTGAAGAACCCAATTTAAAGGTGGAGGACCTTCAATCGCATGAACCTCCGTTGTTTCCTCTGCATGATGATATTCTAAGAAGTCATATGGGTATCCCTCTACTTCCTCCACCTGTTCGATATCACCATCAATTCCTCTGTTCTTGGCGCCATCTGCCCACAACACAAGAGCTTTGTCAGTCCCTAATTCCTTTTCTTTTAGGGGCTTCGAATGCCTTCTATTATATGTGTTCTGAACCAAGGTGTTTGAACATGTCTCCTCGTGCTCTTTCGATTCAGTCAAGGCTCGACCGTCAACTGATGTATGTCCCGTCTCTTTCGTAGCCGATAATAATTCGTCAGCTGGCATCATGTCCATCAAACCCAGTGTCTCCGACTCCAAGTTCATCATATTCGGCTCCCATGTGTTAGACCAATGTCCCATTTCTTTCTGCTTCGATCCTTGAGTCATTATCCCCCTTGTCTTTAGTGAGGTCTACATCTGGTTATAGCTCCTTAAGAGCCACGCTTTCCCCTTTCATGCCCTCCCCACACTTATGACAAAAGAGAATCTTGGATTCCGTTGCAGATCCACATCCCACAAGCTTAGATAATTCATCCAATTCTTCTTTTAACGCCTGGACATGAGCCCTTATTTCATCACAATTCAGTCTACTGTCATAAGATCCTTCTACATGTGTTTCCTTAGGTTTATACGTCATACAAATGCCTTCATTATCACTCACAGCAACTGCCTTTTCCTTTCGAATTAGCACCCTTCAGTTAACATTCTGCGTGGCATGTACATTCGCCTTGTGCCCAGAAAACATACCAAGTAAATTCTCAAAAATTTCTTGAGCTGAGAGGTGGCTATGAGACAAAAGAGAAGGGAACAGATGAAAACGACCAAATACGACTAAACCCAAGTGTATTACATGACAAATCCTTTTTAGAATGCTAGGGAGCTCCTTAATACCCAAGAACATGATAGAATGGTTAAAAACATTGTTCATATTATTATGTGTTATTCAAGCATCAGCACAGGTTATGTCTAATACACTCATATCCCACCAAGTAAATCAGATACCTAACAGATAGATAACTTTATTTCAGGATTTCTATGCAAAGGAAAATTTGGGAAATACACAAAAGAGACAAATTTTGTGCCAATGAAGGCGGGAAAAACATCAACAACAAAAGCATAAGATGAGAAAGTCAGAATTGGTTAAAAACGTATAGATGGACTGTGCCTCCATGACTGCTAATAAGCTCAAGATGTTTTACAACATATGTAGTAGAAGGCAAGAATGTTTCCGAAACCACAGGTGAGACGAAGCCAAAATTTCTCGTAACCATCAATAAGATATACCAAATATGCCAGTGAAGCAATAACCTGTAACGAGGAGTATGTGTTACGGAAACCAGAACATTTGGGCTGAAAATTTATTTTTCATACATTTCATTTTATTCCGAAGCCCTTCAAATAATATTTCACGTAAAAAGTACCAAAAAAAGGTGAAAAAATAGAAAAATAATTAAAACAAGAGTCTCAGTGACCTACCAACTGCATAGCAAGCAAGACGAATAGAACATCTCTGGTCACAAAAAATTGGAACTTCAAAGTTCGCCATTTCAGATGAGCAGTATGGACTCTTAAATAGTAAGGAGTCATACAAGTTGTGTAATGAGCAAATGCAAACCCTTCCTGCAGGATCAGAAAAGCCATGATGAGCTTATACGGTACATGGATTTCCCAAGTATCAGGATTTTGTGTAGTTCAAGCACAACACACCAGCTAGAACTAACATTTGGGCAATTTAGAGATAACTTCTTCTATGATAAACTATAGACAAATAGAGGATGTGAAAGTTCTCCAGAATCCTACAATTGAACATATCGATATTTTGGAAAGCTTCCAAATTTACCATATTCTAGGATATTTAGTTTCCTTAGAGTTTAAGGATTCTTTCTTACTTTATTCATTCTTTCCTTTTTTTTTTCTTTTTCTTTCTACTGTATATATAAATACTGCTATGTAGCTTAGAGATGAATAATGAGAATTTATCTACAATACACTCTCTCATTCAAGAGATATGTTAATATTTCAGTTTTGCAAAAGAACTACAGATAATCAATGCAAAATAAATTCACTTCTGCCGAAAATTTTAATAAAGGAAATGAGAATAACAAAAGATGCAGTCTTTTGGCACTTTCCAATGTAATAATGAAACAAATAGATCAACAGGAAACTCCAAATGAAGTAGAAGATTAATACAAGAATAACTTCAAGGCAACAAATAAGCACATATACCTTAACAGCACGCCAATGATCTAAACATTTCCTGTGAACATATTTGGACGTGACTTTGCACTTGCAAGGGGCGATAAAATCCCTACCTGATAAAGAAAAGAAGTTAAAAAGCTGAGAACCATTCTATGATATTGGATTGCAAGGTGAGAAATATAAATCATCTCACATCCTCAAAGTAAGCAAATACTCTTCTAGTTATTCCGGAAAAGGATAGAAGATTTGCTGGTTCAGAATGCAGACTAAATCTCTTGCATTGCAATACTGAACCGGTTAAATAAATTCCAACCTTCCCTATGTAAGAATATAAATTTTACAAAGTAGTAACATGGGCAACATTTGAAACCCATATCACTTATATAACAGTTTCCACGCATAAAAAAACTACAAAATCACTTTTTTCCTTTTCAAAACTTGTTGAATGGTAAAGAAAGACTATTGATTGAACCAATTTTTTTCCCGAAACTGAAAACAAATGCACGTTAAAGGTAAAGTTTAATAAATATGAGGGCAAATTGTTTAAAAAAAGAACAATGATCATTGACGCGCTAAATACCCAATACCCAGAAAAATCTTTGCTTAGGTTAAGGTATTTTATGAGGTATGCTTTGTATACGATAGTTGTAGGATAGGGATAGATTTTGGAAAATGCCAAAATGTTATATTTGAGGAAATACTATTAATTACCTTGGATTTATAGACGAGGTATGCTGCATTTTTGGGCATCAACTGTACTCTTTTTCTTTTGTTTTGGGTGAGGGGTTGTTGGGGGGTGGTGTGACGACCTCAAAATAGAAGTCCTCTTTGTTACTTCACTAATCATCTCAATTTTGTGGTTTTTCGTTAAGAAATCAATGATCCTTCAAGAGAAGAGTGCGGAAGAAAATGGACACCTCGTAATTAGCAAGAGTTAATGTAATGTGCGGACTTGATTTTACTTTATTTGTCATGTGTATTGCGCTAATTTTAAATGCATATTTCGAATAGGTGAGTAAACAGTGCTGGAAATGTTCATACATTAGGTTGTTGACAATAAACTAAATCTGAAGAAGATTTATGGTTAAGTTCATAACACCACAACAATACGATAGGTAAAATATTATATTTCCAGAGGAAAATAGACACTTCATAACTAATGCAGGTCGATATAATCTATGATAATCTATGCTTTTATTTTATGTCAGCCTATGTGTTTTATTAATTTTTAATGCATAGTTTGTATTGCTAGCATTTAAGATTGTATTAGTTGTTACAGTATAACAATTTAACAAGGACAAAGTTTACTTTTTATCAACAAGTTGTTAATTTACAGAATAAACAGTAGAGAGAAGTTCTTATAATGAACCAATCAGTATTAATTTCTTGTATTTGGATGTGATGCCCTTCAACCACAACACTAATACAATTTGTTTAAAGGAATTATAGTTGCCGAAATTCTGGCTATCAGCAATTATCCAAAATTTGTGAAATTTTCTTCTTGCAATGAGCAATTCTAACGAGGAGAAGCTAGATGCTGAAGCCGATTTCATCATTTCTGGGTTTTCAAAGTTATTGGGATACCGTATATGCTGATGAGTTGGCAAATTTTAGGAAGTATGGTTATGCTCGCGAAGTTTGGTAAGTGTTGCCATAATTTTGGGCAATTAGCACAAATTATCACTACCTTTTGATGTTATTGTGCAAAATATTTTTACCTTTCATTTTTTCTTTTTTTGCATTTTCACCCCATTTCCAAGTTTCATTGTGGAAGACATCATTTTCACCAATTTATAATGTAAAATGACCAATATACACTTCTATTCAAATAAAAACAGAAATGAATTATAAAGAACAAATTGCAATCTTACTCCTAGATTTTTCAAAAAGGGTAAAATGTCATAAAACGTCCTTATCTTTCAATATCATTGTGCAAAACGTCCCTACCTATTATTTTTTGATATTTTCACCCCTATTTCCACGTTTCATTGCGCGAAAGGTCATTTTCATCCATTTTTCGAATAAAAAGACGATTTTACCTCCATATTCGAATAAAACAAGAAGAAAAGAAAAGAAAAAATAAAAAACTGATTGCAACTAAACCCCAAATTTTCGAAAAATTACAAATTAGTCAGAAATAATACTTAAAATCAAAAGTGTGAAAAAAAATGGATCTTTCTGAAAAAAAACTTAACTGGCCAAGATCCAAATTCTCTTGAGAAGCTCTCGTTATTGAATTCTCTCATTGGAATCTTGCTCGAGTCTATGAAGAATTGTGTAAACCTTCTGACTCTGGATATTAGCCACAATTATTTGATTGGTGAACTTACTTCTTGGCCATTCGAGCTTGGTTTACAGCAACTTCTGTTTTCAGATAATAAATTAAGTGGGAATGTGGATAGTACTCTTGCTTCCTCCTTGGATAGTTCTCGTCACAGGCCTGTAGTTTTGGATATCTCCAAGAATCAAATATATGGTGAAATTCCCAGTTCTTGTATTTCTTGAATATGTCGAAAAACTCATTTGTAGGTAGTATTCCTGCAAGTATTGGACAATTGAAAATCTTGGATACGTTGGATTTAAGCGATAACAAGTTAAATGGTAGCATCCCTTTGGAAATTGGTGGAGCTACATCTCTTGAGAAATTGTGGCTAGAGAAGAACTTGTTCGAAGGCAACATTCCCACCGCCAGTGGCTCCATCAGAGGGAAAAGGTGGCGTCGTCTTCTTCTTTATTTTTGTTTTTACTTTTGATTTTTAAGTATACATTTGTAACTGATTTGTAATTTTTCGAAAATTTGAGGCTATAGTTACAATTAGTTCTTTATTTTTTTTCTTTTCTTCTTATATTATTTGAATAGGGGGTAAATATTGTCTTTTTATTGGAAAAATGGATAAAAATGATCTTTTGAGCAATGAAAGGTGGAAATAGGGATAAAAATGCCAAAAAATGAAAAAGTAAGGACGTTTTGCACAATAATAATGAAAGGTAGGGACGTTTTGTGCTATTTATCCTTTTCAAGAAATTACAAATAACCCTTAATCACCTCCCTAAAACACTGGAGCTCATATCACAAACAACTGCCATCAACTGTTAAACATTTCCCATAGAGAAATTTAACAAACAATAAATTTATATTTCCAATTCAAGAAAGCCCAATTAACTCGTATTATCACGTCCTTTTTGTACACGGATTAGGCTGTAGTTCCTTTGCTTTTCGAAGTATTCTTAAATGCTATGCATATTGAAAAGAGGTACCCTGGTGAGTATAGTCGATTGGTGTGTTAAGAATGGCATGGGTTTCCAGTGGTGCCACCAATATTTGCATTCACAAGTTGGGTATTTTTGCTTGTAATTCTAACCAATTCTGTTAATATGAAGGTTGGATGTTGGGTGGTATGTGTAGAGAGAAATGAATGCTTTCCAGAGGTATGGAGTTCTGGTGCTTTGGGTTGCGGTTGTCCAAAGTTTTTTGGCTGCTAAGATGGCGGCCTCAAGACTCATTTGCACTTCTAAAAAGTTTAGGAGTAAGATTGCAATTTGTTCTTCATTTTTCTTTTTGTTTTATTTAAATATGAGGGTATATTGGCCATTTTACATTAAAAATTAGTGAAAATGGTGTTTTCTACAATGAAACATAGAAATAGGGGTAAAACTATCAAAAAATGAAAGATATGAACGTTTTGCACAATAACATTGAAAGGTAGGGACGTTTTGTACTAATTATCCCCATAATTTTATAAGTTTATTTATTAAATGTTCACCTTCAATCATTATCATTGGACTTGATTGGACACGCTTCATACTCATCTAATTAATTGTAGCTGTTGACATTTTATGGGGAGTCGTTAGCATGGGATGTTTGGCAACTTCAACTTAATAGTTTCCTACATCTATTAGGCCTAGCCTAAAATAGTATTTCTATGAATTTGTATAAAAGAGAATAAGTGTGTGCATGTTTTTTTTCTTTTTTCTTTTTTTTTTTTTTTACTTCACCTTATCCTTGTATGGATCAAATTTAAAACATTTTCAGCATCTGTAAGAGTATGTAAAATGGTTAACGTTCGGTTTTTATTCCTCTCTGGAGATGGATTTTCTAGGAGTTGTATTCCGTAATCTTCAATAGTAGTACTTTATCGAGTTCCATTCTTCCTAAATTCTCTTGGATTTGGGGAATGGCCAAGTGTTTGGTCATTGCAGCATGGACATGGGAAGAGATTGTATTTTGCTCACGCCCCTGTGCGGGTTACCAATGACTTTAGAATAGGGGCTACCTTTAAGGGCTCCGACAAGATATATCGAAATCTTGCTGCTCTTAACTTATTTGCTTTTTTTTTTCTTCTGGCAATAATCCAAATGCACGTAGCTTTTACTACATGTTAGCCATAGTTAACAGCGAAATGCGATGTATTTTTATGAAGAAATATATACATTGTAGTCTCGCATTTTATATACTTTGTAACCTTGTTTATATTTAAGTAAACGAATTCTCTCTATTATGCATAAAAGGAAAAAAGAACAAAAATATAATTCCAGACAATTCCCTCTATTTTGGAAAGCGACAATTATGTGCTTTAAAGTTGAATTGAAATGGAGAAATGGTCCTAAATAACAAGGGAAAATTGCAGCTGAGGTACCAAACATTTCGTTTATTAGCAGACTTTGCCCAAACCTTTAGTTTGTGCCACCCACAGTCCCAAACCTTTCAAAAATATGCATCGGGGGTCCAAATGGATGGAAACCGTCCGTTTGACCATCAATCGACCAATAAAATTGAATTTTGACCAATTTTTGACCAACTTAAAAGAGTAGAAATGTAAATTTGCTATTTAATTCTATAATGAAAAAAATAAACTAATATACCAAATAAAAATAAAAGAAACTACTATTCATCTTCTTCTTCCCCCCACCTCACTCCACCCTACCCCACCGCTGCTGCAATTTTCCCAATAAAAAATGATTTCTTCTTCACCCTACCCATCCCCAGCCTACCCCCAAATTAAAAATCACCGTCTTCCTCATCTTACCCACCCTCACTCCACCCACCCCAAAACTAAACCTGCTACTTCCGGCTGTCGGAAGGTCCACATCGAGATGCTTCTACTTATGAGCTTTCTCCTACGGTGTGGTGCGAATGTGTTGTGTCTTTAGAAAGTTATCTTTGTATTCGAAACAAGTTTCATCTCTATCCTCTGTAAAATAGGGTATTTCAAGTCGTATTCAGTAGATGGTTCGGGTAATTCAGGAGTTTGGGTTTCTAAGACATGGATTTGGCCATGGCAGCCTCTTTAAAGTTGTTTTTTTTACTACCTAGTACTAATTTTTGATAGGATCTTGATATCCTATTTTCTGGATTCCCTGCAACTACTGCAAATAATGTAATAATCGAAATGGAAGAAAGAAAGCCAGAAAACAACAGATAGAAGTAGTAGACTGGTTCTTCCATTTAGGGGGTCAAAAGCATTTTGGATCTAGTTATTCCATTTAGGGGGTGAAGATGATGAACTGCAGACCTTGGTAATCATTGATTTCAAGAAAATTTGAGGTGAAATTTAGAGTGCAGCTGCTTGAAGTTGCTATTGCTGGTAGTGATTGGGGGCTTGAGGGTACAGAGAAGGATAAAAGTGGGCTTGCAGTGGAGATCAGATGGAAGGGTTGATGGACCAAACGATAGCGATTTGGTGGTGTAGAATGAAGGGTTTTAGACGTTGGTAAAGAATATAACAGGCGGTGGTGGTGCCGGAGGTCGCCGTCGGTGTTGGTGGCTGAATTTTTGCTGTGGGAGTAGGTTGGGGATGGGTAGGGTGAAGAAGAAACCATTTTTTATTGGGAAAATTACAGTAGCGGTGGGGTAGGATGGGGTGAGGTGGGGGGAAGAAGAAGATGAATAGTAGTTTATTTTATTTTTATTTGGTATATTAGTTTATCTATTTTGTTATAGAATTAAATAGCAAATTTATCTTTCTACCCTTTTAAGTTGGTCAAAAATTGGTCAAAATTCAATTTTATTGGTCGACTGACGGTCAAACGGACGGTTTCCATCCATTTGGACCCCCGGTGCATATTTTTGAAAGATTTGGGACTGTGGGTGGCACAAACTAAAAGTTTGGACAAAGTTTGCTAATAAACGAAAGGTTTGGTCGGCTGCAATTTTCCCAAATAACAATGATGTACTAATTATCAAATGTGAAACTTCATTAAACTCGGAGCCTCGATCAAATGTTATCCTATAGTTATTTGGGGTCAAGTACATAGATTCTCATATTTTACTCCAATCAAGTTTGAAGTAAAACCACAAACACTTAAAATCATTCATTTGCGGAGGTTTTAGGTCAAATTTGTAAGTAATCGTTCATACTACTACTATTACTCTTCCTAATGGTTGCATTTCGCAGCCTGTGTTCGTGACATGAATACCTTGCCTCCAATTTCACAACATTATATCTCTCTCACACTCTCTCTGATTCATTATAACATCAGAATTTCTTTAAGCAAGGTGGATTTGGTTATGTGAAGGAACACACATGCATAAATTTCGTATGATCTTGGCATTGATATTTTCTTTTTTGAGCTAACTTATGATTTTTTATATGATAGAAGAAAAATGAAGTACATAAATGTCAATTTCATAGCTAATTTCGATGGAGATCCCGTACAATTAATTTTGTTCTTCCATTCAGATTGAAGATTTTTGTAAACTAGATTGTTAAACCCCGAGTCACTTAGAGAATATATTGACAGATGGCATTGAAGTCACAGCCAATACAAATCTAAAATATACTAATTATGATCTGTTTATATAGGCCAATGTTGTCTTCATTCAAAGCAGGTTTCATTTTTCGTTGAAATCCCATAAAATCAAAATCCATCTCATTGTGACTTGCACTACATCACCCACTACACGTGCAACCACGTGCATTCACTATTTAATTAAACACGAAATTATACATTGTTCTCTTGAAGCATTATACCAAACACAGTAACATTTTAAGATATCTTAGTCAACTCTGATACTATATCCTTAATGCTATCCCATACCAAACGCATTCTTTGTATTAATTTAATTAATTTTTTGAGTACATATTGGCGATATCTATTACGAGTAATCTTAGGCATAAAATAAGATAACAGCTCAACCTTAATACTCTTTCCATTGTAATTACAAGTAACCTTATTTAGCTTATAATTTTTACATATATGGATGTATCCACATTTACAGACTTAATGAAAGGGCTGTAATTTCATTCATTCCTTTTGTCATGGTATCAGATGCATAGATTGAAGCCATCCCTATGTTGCCATGGCTGATCCTCTTGATATCACCAAAGCTCTCACAGATGCATCATCCCCATATTTTCTCCACTCCTCAGACCAACCGAACTAGTTTTCTGTTGATACGCCATTAAATGGCGACAATTACACCGCTTGGCGACACCCTATCACTAGTGCCCTCAATGCTAAGAACAAGTTGGGTTTTGTCAATGGTGCCCTTTCCAAACTTAAAGAGGATGCTGCTGCTGCCCTTTGGGATCGATGTTGCGACATGATTATGTCGTGGCTACTACACTCCAAAGAGAAACCCCTTGCTAGCAGCCTTCTCTATTGCTCCAACCCTTTCGATCTCTGGACTGAATTGGAGAGTAGATTTCAACAAAGCAATAGGACTACTATTTTTCGCTTGAAGCGAGATCTTGCCAATTTGACTCAAGTTAACCTTTTAGTCACTCAATATTATGGCAAAATGAAGATACTCTTGGAGGAACTTGCTTCTTTACAATCAATCACCCCATGCAACTGTGGTACTACAAAGAAATTTTCAGAAATTCAATCTGCCGATCAGGTATATCAATTTCTAATGGGTCTCCACGAATCATATCATCAACTACGATCCCAGATTTTGGCCATCGATCCATTGCCATCTCTGGGTAGGAAGAGACCCAATGATTGGTGAATATTTCTCATGCATGATCAAATGCCACTGCTTTCCATTCTCGTGCACCCGGTGGACCCCCTTCTTCCCAGTCACGATCGAAGAAAATATGGCCTCCTGGTACACTTTCTTGCTCTAGTTGTGGAAAACTCGACCACAGTCGTGATAAATGCTTTGTGGAAATTGGTTATCCTGATTGGTAGACTAGCAAACAAAAAGGAAAACCAATAACTTCTTCGACTCCAGCGGCATATAATGTGTACATTGGTCCTTCGACGCCTTCTACAAGTGCTGTCCTTGGGCTTTCTCCTAAGCAATATCATCATTTAATAGAATTATTGCAACCCCCATCGTTGGCTTTTTAAGGTTATTCACCCCCTTCATCTCACTTGCCTGCATACCCTTGGATAATTGATAGTGCTACTACTCACCATATATCTACCTCTCCTTTTAATTCTGATTTTTCAACTAGGGCTCACCCAATTTCTGTTAGACTTCCTACATGCAATAATGTTAATGTTACATCAACTGGTGATGTTAATTTATCCTCATCTCTCACATCACACAATGTTCTTTATGTTCTTGAATTTAAGTTCAATTTGATGTCTGTTAGTTAGTTGACTAAATCCTTAAATTGTGTTATCATTTTCTTTCCTCAATTTTCAGGACCTAACCACGAAGAAGCAATTGGAATGGGTGAAGAGCGTGATGGCCTCTACTACTTCAAACCTGCTACTGCCACATCCTTCCAAACTTATGGGTCTGTTTCTTTCACTATATGGCATAGACGCCTTGGTCATCCCTCCATTAATAATGTTTTAGATTTTATTCCCCATCCTAAAACTTTAGAACATTGTGACGATTGTGCTCGTGGAAAGTATACTCATTTACCTTTCCATTCAGTTTTTAAAAAAAAAAAAGTTCTATGCCTTTTGAACGTTTATATTGTGACATTTGGGGTGGATATCATACTGCTTCTCTATGTGGTGCACATTATTTTTTGACAATTGTGGATGAATATTCTAAAGTTACTTGGTTATACTTAATGTGTTTCAAATTTCAAACTTTAACTTGCCTCAAATCCTTTGCAGCTATGGTTCACACCCAATTTAATGCTAAAATTCACCACATACGGACAGACAATGGTCAAGAATTCCTTGCACACTCCACATAAGATTTCTTTAAAGAACACATCATCTTACATGAACGTACTTGTGTGAAAACACCTCAACAAATTGGTGTGACTGAATGAAAGCATTGTCACATCCTCAATATGGCTCGTTGCCTTCGCTTTCAAGCTCATCTACCCTTAAGCTTTTGGGGTGAATGTGTGCTCATTGCTACTTACCTTATTAATCGAACCCCCTCTTCTTCACTTCAAAATAAGACTCCCTTTGAACGTCTCTTTAAATGAACCCCTCGATATGATCATTTACGGGTTTTTGGTTTTCTCTGTTATGCTCAAACCACCACCGCTCATCGAGATAAATTCCAACCTCGTGCCCACCCTGCGTTTTTTTAGGCTATCTTTCCAATCATAGTAGTTATCGCCTATTTAACATTGAACTTAAAAAAATCATCATCTCTCGCGATATAACTTTTGTTGAACATATTTTCCCTTTTCAAGTCCATATTCAACCAACTCACCCCTTCCTCATCTTACCTCTTCCAATTTCAGATACCAACTTACCTTCTTACACTCCATCAAACCCTTACCCACTATCATCACCATCCCCTCCTCCACCACCACCCCCTACCCTTCCTCGTCGTACCATACAACAACCTTCTCGCTTATGTGACTACCTTTGTCCCACCTTACCCACTCCCCCCATCGCGCCCTCCACTCATTCAATCACAACTTCAGGTACGACTCATCTTTTATCTAATTTTATATCATATTCAAAGTTTTCACCTGTACATTATACCTTTTTATCCATGTTATCTCACTCTGTTGACCCATCTAGCTATTCTCAAGCTGCTAAGCATCTACATTGGCGTGATGCTATGCAGATTGAAATTCAAGCTCTTGAGGCTAATAACACCTGGATACTTACCTCCCTTCCTCCTGGCAAAAAACTCATTGGCTGCAAATGGGTGTTTAAAATTAAATTCCATGCAGATGGTTCCATTGAACGACATAAAGCTCGGCTGGTTGCCAAGGGATATACCAAGTTGAAGGCCTTGACTACTATGACACCTTTGCCCCTGTTGTCAAACTAGTTACTGTTCACGGTGTCCTTGCCATTGCTTCAGCTCGTCATTCTCATCTTCATCAGTTAAATGTCAACAATGCATTCCTTCATGGTGAATTGAATGAGGAAGTCTACATGACTTTACCTCTTGGGTATGGTCGTAAGGGGGAGTCCCGCGTGAGTCGCTTACTTAAGTCCCTATATGGTCTTAAGCAAGCCTCACACAACCGGTACTCAAAATTATCTTCTGTGCTCCTCTTGGCTGGTTATTCTCAATCTGCAGCTGATCATTCATTATTCACACGGACTCAGGGCTCCTCTTTCACTATTGCCTTGGTATATGTTGATGATATTTTACTTACAGGAAATGATCTTAATACTATCACAGATCTCAAGTCCTTTCTAGTTGACCATTTTAAGCTCAAAGATTTGGGGACCCTAAAATATTTTCTTGGTCTTGAGATAGCGCGTTCTCCTTCTGGGATTTTTCTTTCCCAACTGTAATATGCCTTGAATATCCTAGTTGACTCAAAGCACATTGGGCTCTCATCCTACTCCTTTTTCCCATGGAACAGCATCTAAAGCTCACTTCAGAAGATGAAGCCTTGCTCTCCAATCCTGGCTCTTATAGAAGATTGGTGGGACGTCTCATTTATTTAACTATCACTCGCTCTGGCATATCATTCTCAATGATCATATTGAGCCAATTCATGCAGGCTCCTAGGGAACCAAATTATCAAGCTGCTCTACATGTGCTTCGCTATCTGAAAAGTTCTCCTGGTCATGGTTTATTTTTTTCATCCACCTGTAATTTTCAGATTTCCGCTTACTCTGATTCCGATTGGGCTAGTTATCCCACTACTCGCCGCTCTACTACTAGTTTCTTCATCACTCTTGGGACAAGCCCTATTTCTTGGCGCACAAAGAAACAAACAGTTGTCTCTTGATCTTCTGCTGAAGCCGAATATCGTGCTATGGCTTTGACTACATGTGAACTTGTTTGGCATAAGACCTTGCTTTTTGATCTTAACATCCAACATCCTAAGAGTATCATCCTTTATTGTGACAATCAAGCTGCAATTCACATTACCCGCAATCCAGCCTTCCATGAACACACAAAACATATCGATATAGACTGTTATTTTGTCCGTGAAAAGTTCCGCTCGGGCCTTATTATCTCGACGCATATCTGCACGAAGGAACAAGTTGCTGACATTTTCACTAAAGCACTTGGAAAAGATCAATTTCGTCATTTTGCTTGCAAGTTGGGCATTACAGACCTCCATACTCCAACTTGAGAGGGAGTAAATACGAGTAATCTTAGGCATAAAATAAGACAACAGCTCAACCTTGATACTCTTTCCATTGTAATTACAAGTAACCTTATTTAGCTTACATTATTTTTGCATATATGGATGTATCCATATTTACAGAATTAATGAAAGGGCTGTAATTTCATTCATTCCTTTTATCAATATCCACGTAAAAATCAAAATGGCATTGCACTTTCAATATTTTCCAACAGTTATCGACAATTAAAATTTGTTTAATAGTCATTGTACTTTCAAATTTGCTTCCCCAATAGTCACTTTACTTTATTTCTTTCTTTTTTTTTCGAATAATTATTGTACATTAAGTTGTTTTTCAAATAATCATTGAATAGTCATTGTATTGTTGCGATTGTTATCCATCCGTCACTATAGATAGTTCAAAAAATTAAACGGCTCTATTAATCGCATCATCAAAATCAATAATTTGTAAATAAATGGAGACAGATCGACAAATGGGAAGTAACATTAAAAAATACAATAATCATTGAGTTTAACTCGTGAAGATATATTCAAACTATTAGCAAAATTTGAATGATGTGCATACTCGGAAAATGACAACTCAAACTATATTTGAAATAACTTATGCGAAAGTGCAAAAATTTATGTCTTGCATTTAACTAATGCATTGGCACTTTTGTAACATATATTCTTTTATTTAATTTCTTATAAATGCATACGCCATTTTTCTTTCTTTTTTCTTTTTAATATAATGTGACCCCTTCAAAGAACTTTTTAAAAAGTGTCTTTTGGGAAAAATGAGTTTTGGAATAATAATTTTTTTGGAGAATATGTGGTTAAAAAGTAGAAATAATTTTTGGGTTATGTGCAGAATATTCTACAGTGAGAATATATAGTTGAAAATAAATTTTACAAAATGAGTTCTATAAAAAATGATTGTCAAATAGGGGCTTAAAGTTCAATTTGAAAGCATTAAAGTTAGGAAGCTGTATATTTATAAGTAAATGTTTGTTTCAATTAAAAAATTGGATTAAAATTTAAATTAAAGTCAGTGTTAATAGTAACAACATATTTTATAGAATTAATAACTTATTAACTACACAATCTATCAACTTGTATAAAAAACTTTTAAAATTTCGATTTTCATCTAAACCAAACATAGGTTAAGTAAGCTTTTTAAACTTCATCTAACAAGTTTAAACTTTAAATATATCATTTTTTTGTGTTTTCAAATAAAAAGATTTTTTTTTTAAATTATTGAAGTACATTTCAACTTACTTTATCATCAAAATAAGTAATTTTCAAAAAAGTTATATTTTAACCTACACCAACCAAATCTCCTTCCATCCTTGTAATCCACCAACCCATTCTCTTTACCTTTCTTCCAACTAGGACTGAACAAAACTCTCAAATCGAACCCGAACAGAATCAAACGGTTCACTTAAGTTAAATACTCGTACGGGTATCTGAATCAAGAACTAACATGTTTGATACAGTTCTTGGTTCTAGATCAACAATCGAATTTCCCTAATTTTTAATTAATTTATTTTAAATAAGTCAAATTATTAGTTATTTTAAATAATTTATTTTAAATCGAATTTCCCTAATTTTAAATAATTTATTTTAAATAAGTCAAACCAAAAAATATGATTTTCTTATTTCTAATTTTTAGTTCAAAGCCAACTTAATCAAATTGATTTAAGTTTTATCCAAATTTGTTACTATATCGTAGTGTCGTTTCTACCATTCGGGAGAAATCGAACTTAAGCTTGACAATGCCTCTCTTAATTATTTTGAGCTCGCTATCTTCCTCTTCCTATAATTTTAACAATTAAATCCAGAAAGAATTCAACAAAGAGAGACTCAAAATATATATAAGATTAGATTACGTTATTTTATAAGAGTTAAGATTGAACATATCATTAGTTGAATTAATATAACTTTGTAAATATTAAAAAATTTTAATTATAATGCGGAATTTGTGAACCGAATGGATCTGAACCGAACTGAACTAGAACGATTTTTTAATTAAATTTGGACTTGACGGTTTCAATTACTAAATACCCGAAAATTTCGGGTCTACAAGATTTGAACCGACTGAAGTGTATCATGTCAAGCCCTACTCCTAACTACCCTTTTAAATTTCTCTGTATAAATTATTGCCACGATTTATTATTGTTCCTGCGTTCCTTTCTTCTACAATGTCTCTCTTCTCATCCTCACTTTCAGACTTCTATTTCTGTCCTTCCACCTCTACCAAAAGCTCCGATACTGTCTGGCACCAGGCACACGGCAATGGCCGGTGGTCGGAAACCTCTACGACATAAAGCCAGTGGGATTCCGGTGCTTCACGGAGTGGGCTGAAACCTATGGTCCCATCATAGCCGTCTGGTTTGGCTCAACTCTAAATGTCGTAGTTTCCAACACAGAACTGGCCGAAGAAGTGTTGAAAGAGAACGATCAGCTGTTGGCAGATAGGCACAGAAGCCGTTCTGCTGCTAGATTTAGCAGAGATGGAAAGGATTTAATTTGAGTTGATTATGGACCACATTATGTTAAAGTTAGAAAGGCTTGTACACTTGAATTATTTTTTGCTGATAGAATTGAGGCTTTGAGCCCTATTAGAGAAGATGAGGTCACGGCAATGTTGGAGTCTATCTATAAGGATTGCACTAATCCAGTAATCCTGGTATGTCTTAATTACCTTTGATGTTTCCTTTTTTGGATATATTCATTCAGCTTGTAATTTTAGCTTTAGAAAATATAATTGTTATGATTAATACTCCCATTAATGGTGGTATCAAGCGCATGCATGAGTTGCGGATCCAAGAATTCGAAGTTTGCTCGTGCTAATATATGGGGAAAAAAATGCACGGCTGCCGCCATGGCTCGTTGGGGGCTGGGTCTGCCCACGTGCATGTATATAAACTATAAAGGAATCTCTTTTTTTATTTTTATTTTTATTTTTTTTGGAAAATAGTTAGCAAGAATCGTGAAAAACAAAAATATTTTTTAAAAACTACGACTGAATCTATGTTAGATAATTTAATATGCATTTTACTATACTAATTTATTTACACAAGAATTAAAATGGAATTCCTGGTTTGTGAATAAAATGAAGTTCTTAATTCTTGAAGCTATGATTATGAGTCTTGAATTCTTAATTTTTTTTTTTTTAAATCTGCCTAGATTTGTCAAGCTTTAAGGACTGGGTTCTTTTAACTGTTAGATGCTTCCAACCCTTTCCTTAAAGCTTGAAAAAGAACCTTGAATTATCAGTCTCTACTCATTTTACTAGAAGCTTTAAAATGCATTTACATCCTCAAACTTATCGTCTTTATGTCTTATCCTCGTTATCATTCCTTAGTTAGACTTGGAAAAAATGACGTCACGTCTCTTAATAGCACAACTTGAGGGCTAAGTAGCATCAAGGCAGGTACTCTGTACATCGTCATTTTACCACTTAGCAGATATTACATTGTGATATTTTATTACATCGTTGAATGGACCCATTCGAAAATAATTGGATGATGGCGAAAATCTGCGTTCAAATCGATCTAAGTACTCCCTAGATTAGAATTGGCAAGCATCGTTAGAGCAGGAATGGAAATAGTAGGTTTTTATCCCTACACTATAGGCCTACCTTTGATGGGCTTCTGGAATAAATTTGTATGTGTACACAAAACTTTGCCCTAATTTTAGAACTCCAAAAATTACCTTTTATAAAATTTATGTTGTGACTCGAACTCGGTTCTTTGTGCTTCCATAATTTTCAGCTAAAGGTGTTTTATGGAAATGCGATTTATAAAGTGAACTTTACATTGGATGCTGACACTTGGCACATCATAAATCGTTGGATAAGTCAATTGGTCTTGGTGATATATATACGCTTGGACGTTTCGTTTGGCCTCAGATTTTTTTCTGGCTTTTCATTTTTGAGAGGGTTCATCTTCTGTGAGTAGCTAGGGTTTTCTGATTCGCCATTATTTTGAACATCTCATTCGAAATGATACTTTGAGAGTTTAGACTTGAATACATGTGATTTCTTGTGTGAAATTTGGAATAGTTGTGAGAACTAGGGTCCTGATTTCGTGAAGTTAGATCTGCAGTTTCTTGTGTGATTCAAGCCAAGTCTGTTGATTCTTTGTGAAGAGATAAGTCTCTTATGCTGTATTCTGGTATTAGCTAAACGCTTGTAACCTCCATTGCCAGTATAAGGCATTATAGTGCAACTGAGCAATATTCGTTCTTGAATGGATGCTCAATAGGGGACTAGGTATTAAAAGAGTCACCGAACCTCTGAGGCTTCGGCCGAAAAATTCCTTTGTGTTCAGTTTTATTTTTCTGCAAGTTTTAATTTTTGTTATTAATCGATCCTTTAGTATCTTGTGTTTAATATCCTGTTTGGGCTCTTCATTGGTATCAGAGCTCTAAACTGGGGACAAGATACCTAGATCTTGGAAGGAAGGCACTAATCTATTTTAGATCTGAAAATTTTTGGAACTGCTTTTAAGCAGGATAAAGGATATCGAGTTTTACAACTCGTTGGGTGAGATCTTTCTGAATTTTTTGGAAAATTTATTTTCTAAATTCGATTTCTGGATTTTTCCCTTTGACTTACCATACACTAAAACCCCTGGAAAATATTCTTTGTCCAA